GCTGCTGTCCGGCTTGGCGATGGACAGCCACCGCGTGGGCACAGCCACGGCCGGACGCCTGCCTGCCTCGGGCTTGCCGGGCCCGCTGCCGCCCGGGAAGTACATGGCTGGCCTCAATCTCCACCCGCACCCGGGTAAGTGCTCTGCGCCGTGCCCCCGCCCACGCTTGTCCCCCCGGGATCCTAGGGAGGGAAGCCCCGGAAATACTTATGGGTCTGTTCCCGGGTGTTCGCGACGGAGTCGCCGCGCCTCCGTTTCTCGGCCGGTGTGCGGGAGCGCGGGCAGTCTCCGCTCCCCGGGCGGGAGGACCCCTGGGTCCTAGGCAGAGGCCAGTCCGCAGGCGCCGGCGGAGAGCGGCGCGCGGCTGCGCTGCGTCCCCCAGTGCTCCGGCTTCTCACAAGGCGCACTCGTCTGCCGGAATCGGAGCCACCAGGGGCGATTCCAAACCCCGAGCTCCTGCGGCTGAGGCTGGGATGGAGTTTCCAAAATCTGGGCGAGAAAAGGAACCAGCCCCACACCCTTTGAGATCTCTCTTCTCCGAGTTGGAATCTGTTTCTTGGCAAACGCCCTTGCCGGCGGCGGTGGGCCGCAGTTCCGTTGCCAGCAGTGCGGGGTCTGCGGCCAGCCCCGAGCGCCCGGGAGCGCGCGGAGGACGGCGACCCCAGCCCTGGGACCTTGGCCTCCGGCTGGCGGGCGCCGACCCTCGGAAGACCTCTCGTACCTGGGAGGAGAACGGCGACCTCAGGACCCTCATCCCGGTAGACCCCGGCCCTGGGGCCCCCCTTGTACTCCGGCGGGAAGGCGGGCGCGCGGCGCGGCGGAGACGCCGAAACTGGGCCGCCGCCATCCCGAAGCTGGGGGAACGAAACGGCGCGGGAGCGGATTGGGCCGGGCCGAGGGAAAACCTTGGGTCTGACATCCAGCCGCGAGAGGCGGCGGCCGACAAGGCCCGACAGTCTTCGCCATTTCAGGAGAGGGGCTGCCCAGGCTCGGGGAGGGAGACGCTGCAGTCGGGCGCGGTGGGCAGGGAGTCGCGCGGCCCCCCAGCCCTGCCGCCGGCCGCCGCACGAGACCCGGTCACCCCCCTCTCCGGCTGCCTCTAGTTTCTGCGCCTGGTGTCTCACGCTTTGACTTTCGGAAAAGCCATCTCCAAAGTGTGGTCTAGGGCTCTTGCGACTTCTTCGGGAGCCCCCGACGCTCCCCTCGGCCCTGGGGTCTGGGAGGGGACACGTTCGGCCGCTGCGTCGTCTCGGCCCTGCCCCACTGACCCGGCCCGCTCTGCCGCGTTCGCCGTTTTTTCTATCTCTCCAGTATTTGTCCTGGAACTTTTCAGGAACCAGAGTCCCGGGACTCGGCGGGACAAAGGGCCTTTGTGAGGCGCCCGACGGGGGAGGGGCGGCGCGGGGGCCCGGAGCGCGGAGATCCCCGCTGGCGGGAGTGCGAGGACCAGGTCGTGGCCCCAGGGCGGGTGTCCGCCGAGAGCTGGGGCTCGCGACGAGGGCGAAGGAAGGGCGCCGGAGACCTTATTGGAAGGGTTGGGGGTGGCCCTGGGGTACAAAGGGTCGCTTGGGCCGTCGCCTTTTGTGCGCCTCCAGAGGCCGCGGTAATTTTTGTGTTTGCATATCTTTTGAGCTCATCGGGTCTTTAACAGGGTCCAGCCCCGCGGTAGTGGCAAAGGGTCTGCCGCTGGGAGTCGGACCCCGGGTCTTCCTGACTGGCAGGGCCTTCGCCAGCCTTCCGAGTCAGGGAGACGGCGCCGCGGACTCCGTCTCGGGTCTGGGTCGGGCGGGCAGAACCAGGTGCCCTAATCCGAAGCAGTGAAAACAGCCACTACTCCTGGGGCGCTTGTGCGTGCGCGCACCGTGCCAGGGCCGCGCTGGTCCCCAGCGCAGCCATCGGACACCCCCCCCCCAACGCCCTTTAGGTAGATGGGGAGGTTGAGGCAGGAGAGGGAAAGCGACTTGATGGGAGGCAGGCGGGACGAGGAATTCCAGCGAAAGGTGGCCGCAGAGGCCTGTCTCGGCGCCTCCCGCGTTAGGAGCTGCCTTCTGCGTGCTCAGCGGCTGAGGTCATGGAGGAAATCAGGCGGGCTCA